CAGATTCCATGCCGAGACGCTGGCGCTGTACCGCGCGATTTGTTGCCACGGCAACCACAATATAGCCCAGCGACTAACTACACATGTGGACAAAGACCAACTTCTGCACGTAGTTACTTCGAAACGTGAGTGACTCAAGGCTATCGTGTTTTTTTCAGCAACTGAATTAGCAAGGCGGTGATATTTGTGGATCTAAAAAGGGGTTACGGTGGAGGGAAAATGAAATATTTTCAGAAAACTGAAACAATGTTTTCCCGGAAGAAATTTGAACAGGACTGCTAGAATGCTAGTCTCGTGATCTTTGTCCCGTTCAAAACGAAGTCTGCCAGATTAAAATAAGTACAACCAAGTCTTTTTTCCCGTGTTCGATTCACCCTGATCACAACTATTACCGAAAACTGTACTGACCGATTTTAACTGGAAAAGTGTTGTCAAAAATACCTCTATTATTGATTTTTTGTGTCTGTGAACCAGCCTGTGAGTAAGTGACCGAAGTCATAGAAAGGCATGATCCAAATTTATGTCGGGAGTTTAGCATCCATTTAATGTTGTTATTTTGAGCCGTTGAGTGGTTTTGATGCCCAGTTAGCCTTTTAGTAAAGATACCTGCGTGTTCAGTCTTCATACTGAAGGAAATTAAGCAGGATTTTGGCAAACTCGGAGGTTGCTGGAAATCCAAGAAATGTCCTATGCTCTTTAATAACACAGCACAAAACCTATTTCTTTTTGTGCGTTTTGCTATAAAAGATCGTAAAAATAAGCTGGAAAATCAAAAAACGGTCAGAGTTATCCATTTTTACTCTGACGTTATCTTGGTAACTTACGCAGATATTCATCCACTTAATACTTAATTAAAGTGCTTCTTCAAAGTGGTAACTTAGTATAAGAACTGATATAGAAAAGTCAATTTTTCTGTAAATTCTTTTAAGACGTGTTTTGAAGGTTCTGTTGATCAAATCGAACATATTCCCAATTTATGAAAAAAAGCTTTAAAAGACGGGAAATCATAAAATATTCGTGGGGCTTTCAAGGAAAACATAAAACAGATCGTAATCCAATATCAGAAACATCTATAAATAAATGTGACGAAAAGATAGTCCTTTTATTATGCGCAAGTTAGTATTTTTACGGTTTTATCTGACAATTATATTCACATTTATTGGTCAAAATTGGAGCAATTTTTCACGTTTTCAGAATTTGAATT